GGGGATTTTTCCAATTTTTTCAAAGGGAGAAAATTGTCTTTGACTTAAAAAGTTCCAAAACTACAAGTAAACAAAGGCTAAATCACCCCAAGAATACGGGCCCAAGGAACTTCAACGGTTCTAAAAAATTTAACGGGCCAAAGGGAAACCCTTTAAAACTTTTTCCAAGAAGAAACCGATGAGACACAAAAAAATTCCCCAGTAATTAAGGTCCTAGCTGTAATTATGTATGAAATGAAGTTTTCTGTTCTTGTGAAAAATTTATTTCTCTCACTTTCAAAGACTGTTTAGTGTTCATCAGTTTTTCCACCCCCCGAGAGAAACCCCTAATAAGTAATCTCACTAATAAGTATCTCTCAAGTTTGGGATCCATTATTTTTAGGTCCAAGTTATTTTGTTCATCATAAATAAAAAAATCGCCTATGATTCCCCGGTTCCAGACCAAAAAAACCCAGCATTCAAGTGTAAATTTTCTCAACTGAAAAAACCCCCAAACATTCAAAAAGCACATACTGTAAATACTGGGGCGTTTAAAGAAAAAAAATTAATCCCCTTCAAAACTCCTTTGAGAGCAAAAAGGGAATGTTGCAAACATTAAAACCTTACCTGAGTAACAAAATTTTTTGGGATTTTTAATTTTTTTTCTTCAAGAAAAATTTAAAAAAAAAAAAGGTCACAAGGGCACTTCCTTGTCTTCTTGTTAACTTGTGATAATACCATGTACTAATTTTAACCCCAAATAACAAAATTTAAAAGGACACAAGGGCACGGGTGCGCTAACTGTTAAAATAAAAACTTATGTATTACCATCTACAAAATAAACCCCGTAGAAAATCGGGTAATTATTTAAAAATAAAAATATTGGGCCCCCCTACAAAAAAGGGTTTTTAAAAATTCCCCCTCTATCATATTTCCAGAAATAGGGATTAAGAATCACCCCCCTCAAGCTGATGTTCACTGATGACAAAAAATATTTTAACTACTACAGTTTTTTATCCAGACTCAGACCCACTATACTCGTCCAAGGGCTTTTTCCCTATCTTTTAAATCCTGGGAAAAGTTTTTATCAAAATTTTTTTAAAACTTGTTGGTTTAATTTCTTTTTTTTTTTTTATTTTTATTTAAAACATTTGAACAAAAACAATAATGCATAAGTATAAAAAATTTAAAAAACCCTACTAGACATTGCCAAAAACCCCTAGTACACAATCCCAGTTCAGAAAATAAAAAACCAAAATATAAAGGCCAAAAATTTTCAAAAAAATAACTAACCCACAAAAAATCCTACAAACCCTTTTTACAAAAATTATTGCCAGTGCAGAAACACAGCTGACACTTCTCCCCCCCCTTAAAAATTGTACCCGTCACCGTTCAAAAAAAATACATTAATTTTCCTAATTAATGGTCATACCAGACCCCATCAAAACCCTTTAAAGAGTATTCAAACCCAAAAGTTGTTTTGTGCATGAACAAGACACCCAAAAAAATAAATTTACAACTAAAACAGATATGAAACATTTCTTTTCCCATACACATACATCGTAAAAAAAAAAACGTAATATACCCACCAATATAAAAACAATTATTTTTGTTGACAAACATGAAAAAAACTTCAAAAAAACATTCAAGACGTAAGTTTTACGCTCAAAATTTCAAGTTTTAAAACACCAAATGCTTTCATATGGTACAAACAGGCTATGTAAATATTTTAAAGAAAAAAAAGATACAAAAATGAAAAATATTATCCAAATGGCTATCTTTTATTTTTGTAAGTTAAAAACACTAAACTCTTATAACAAACTAAAAACACCAATACAAAATTACCAAAACATAACAAAACCCTTCTCACAAGACTATACTATCACTGTTTCATTCTAGCAAGCGCCCATAAAATAAGATAAGATAAGATTTCGTTCGGATTTTTAACCCCCAAAGGGGGTTTTGCCAAACCCCGGATAACCCCAAAAAATCAGTGCGTCATCGAGGACTGTCAAATTATTTCCATTGGGGTCCTTTTTCTTGTCCCCCAGGATGCCACCCAACCAGTCAACAAAAACCCAGGTACCTAATTTTCTGCTAGGGGAAAAGGGGGAAAAAGGTGTAAGGGAAAAATTTTGAAATTTTCCCCCCGCCGGGGAATTTGAAACCCCCGGGCCCCCCGTGGGGTGAAAACGGGAGCTTTAGCCCCCAGGCCCCCCGGGCCCCATCTAATATTATAAACAAATAATTCAAAAATATTAATTTAGAGAACTTTAATTTCCCCACCCCACATGTTTTTTCATAAAAAGGTAATTCTGCCCAAAAAGCTGCAGGAACACGTTTTCAAAATGCAAAAAAAAAATAAAATCAGTGCTTCAAGGAAAACCCAAAAAAAAAAGGAATACTTTTTCAGAAAAGTTAAAAATTCAAATTTCAAGAGCCCTTTCAAAACGGGAAAAATAAACCCCACAAAAAAATATACATGTTAAAATAATTTTAGGTTAAATATAGGTTATTTATAGGTTATATAAATTTGATTTATTTAAATGCTATTTTCCCCCTTCCCCATCAAGGGGAATAAGGGAAAAATTTAAATTTTTTACAACCTCTCAAACTAGTCCCCTACGAATACCTCCCAAACACACCCAATCAACCCCCTCACGCCCCACCCAAAGGGGGTTTAAACACGTTGAATGCCCCTGAACCCCCCACCCCCTTTTTCCAAAACCCCCACCCCCGGGAGTTAAGGGCCCCCTTTAACGCCAATAAATTCCCTATTGTTGTCCCCATAACCCCCAGAAAAAAAAAAAATCCCACCTTTTTTTCCCAAAAAAGTCTCTATTTTCCCACAAAATTCCCATAAAAAGGGCCGCCCCAAGCCCCTTCCCCAGCCCTCCCCACCCCCCCTTCCCCCCAAAACCCCACAAAAAAAATGTAGTCCCCCGATTACCTTACCACACCCCCATCCACCAAACCCCTCATTTCAAGACTCAACGCTCGCAAAAAAGACAAACCTTGACCCCCCAAACCCCAACCACTAAAATTACTCATCCATTTCCCTGATGCACTCCAAAACCCTTTAAAAAAAAATAGAAACATGATACGCATTGTCTTTTCCCCCCTGCATTTGCCACACACCCCCACCCTCAATAACCCTCCTTTTCCCCGGAGCATCGCTCCCGTTGGCAAAATCCCATGCAGGAAACGATACATAACCTCACGTGTCCTAGGTCGTATCCTTAATTTACTAAATCTTCGCCATATTACATCCCAAGCATACATGGGGTAGATCCCTTCAACTGGCGCCACTACATGTCCCTCTAACAATTTACACAAAGTTCCCACCTTTACTTTTCCCGGTTCCCTGGCTAACACTAAAGCACGTAACACTGTTTCACATTCCTTCATTTCCGCCCCTCTATACCATTTCCTCATGTGAGCATGTACCTTATCTAGCTGACCCTCCCTCCATCCACCTGCACTCATCGCTTCCCTCTTAATAAACACATATTTCACGCGCTTTCTCAAGTCCAACAAACCCAACCCTCCCCTACATACCGGCAATGTCACTACCTCCCTTCGCAACCAGTTGCACCCTGAACCCCACAAAAATTTAAACACCTTTCTAAGAATACTCGTGATCGCAGTTCCTGTTAACGGCATCACAGCCGAAACAAACCAGACTTTACTATATAGTAATACATTGATGACAATTGCACGTTGCTGCACCTGTTCCACCATCCTATTCAAATTGTTAACCCTGGCAGCACTCAGGTCAGCCTCATATATAACACTGCAGATTTTCAGACTCCCGGTCCGCTGCTGCACAACATCGCATCCCCATTCTAATCTCCCTGCCCACTATCCCAGCCCCATTATCATTGACTTCTCCAGATTCACCTTCATCCCAGACGCTCTCCCAAAATTGCGTACAACTTCCCCCAAAAGTCCTAACCTCGTCTCCTCACTCACTAAAATAGTTGTATCATCAACATAGCCCACCAAACCAGGTCAAGGCTTCTGCTCACCCTCCCCCCCCCCCGTCCTTAGACGATCCTCCACCATCCTATAAAAGGGATCCTGAACACATGCAAACAATAGTTGTGACAATGGACATCCCTGCCGAAGACCCTGCTCCATGTTGACTCCCTCTCCAACACACCCATTGATTTGCACCCGTACCTTCGCGTTTGAGTACAACGTACCCACCCACCCCACTATTTCTTCTCCAAACCCCTGTCGTAGGAGAATATCCTTCAAAGCCTTTCTTTCCACCCTGTCATAAGCCCCTTGCCAATCCAACGCCACCAACGCCCCTCTGCCCCTTTCCATGTCCTCCAGGAACCCCTTTATGATCCCGTGGCCCTCGCCCATCGACCTACCAGGTAACCCAAACTGAGACGCAAACACGACCCTCCCCACAACACATTTAAGCCGATTCCCAAGAATTTCGCGAACAATTTATAATCAGCACAAAGCAACGATATTGCTCGGTAATCCCGAAGGGTGGTATAAACCTTGGTAATAAATACCGACAAGTTGGTTTAGAAAGACACGTAAGCAAACACTATAACATATTTATTAGAAAACGTTTCGGTCCTGGGACCTTGATCACTTCTAACATACAGAGGTAGAAAGACATTATATATATAGGCGGAGAGTGATATGTGACGCACGTGACCTGAGGAATGTCATAAGAACATAAGAATGGAGGAACACTGTAGAAGGCCTACTGGCCCATGCGAGGCAGGTCCTTATCAAAACAACCTCTGCCTATGATGAGGACCGGTCCTCATCATAGGTAGAGGTTGTTTTGATAAGGAACTGCCTCGCATGGGCCAGTAGGCCTTCTCAGAGTTCCTCCATTCTTATGTTCTTATGACATTCCTCAGGTCACGTGCGTCAACACTCCCAAAACTTTTTCCTCTGTATGTTAGAAGTGATCAAGGTCCCAGGACCGAAACGTTTTCTAATAAATATGTTATAGTGTTTGCTTACGTGTCTTTCTAAACAATCCCGAAGGGTACTCTGCTGTTTACCCTTCGGGACCAACACCACCACCGCCGTTGCCTGCGATTCTCCCATCTTACCTCCTTCTTTCATGGCATTCATTAACCCTACTAGGAAACCCCTAAAGGAGCAGTCAGGTATAAATCCGGGAAAGAGACGAAAAAAATCGAAAAAAATAAAAAAATGAGTTAAGCTTACCGAAAAATAGCTCATCTATCTGGCAACATTTTGGTGTATGTCTCGTCTCTGTACGATAATTAGGTAAAGAGTTATCGTAATTATAGTAACTGGGGTAATTACGTCATTATCGTGACTCACGCATACCTGTAGCTCGCTTATTGTAATTTTCTTGTCATTTTTAGCTTTTTTCCGTAATTTTTTCTTATGTTTTTGTGCCAAATGCTTCAAATTACTCATTGGTAACTCTCATGGTGGCTGTAGCAAGGAGCTCCACTCCCCACAACAACCTCAGTGCCGACCAAGGGTCAATTGGAAGAAGGTTTATGCTCCTTTGATTGACCGCGCCGCTCCCCAAGTCTCGTATTTTTGCCGTCAATTCTTTACATTTCTGCTGCACAATGCCTCGCAAGAAGACTATTCACTCTTTGAACATGAGCAAGAAGTTGAGAAAGAGGATGCAGAATGTGCGAAAAGGACAAATAAAGAAAGCAGCAGCAGCAACACGTGACACCGCGACACCACTACTGCCCTCTGACTCCTCAGAAAATGAAGATTTCTTGTCAGCTGGGGAACTTATAGATACTTCTCCAGTGAAGGCATGTACTAAGGAAGCCAAGGGAAGAAGGAAGATTGTGGCCAGGAAGTCCCGGGCCACACCAGATGTGGCCAGGAAGTCCCGGGCCACACCAGATGTGGCCAGCACGTCCCAGGCCACAGCAGATGTGGCCAGCACGTCCCAGGCCACACCAGATGTGGCCAGCACGTCCCAGGCTACAGCAGATGTGGCCAGCACGTCCCAGGCCACACCAGATGTGGCCAGCACGTCCCAGGCCACACCAGATGTGGCCACTTCAAGTCACGGACCTACCACATCGAGAAAGCGCAAACGAAGTGACATATCTGTGGCCACCACCACCACTGTGGCCACCACCACCACTGTGGCCACAACCACCACTGTGGCCACATTGTGCAAGCGTACACCTATATATACATCTGTCATTACCACACCTACAGTTACGTATGTGAGGACCTCCCCACGTATGACTGTATCTGCTCTGACGACTCCAGATGTGGCCACTGCAGATGTGGCCACTGCAGAGGTGGCTACTGCAGATGTGGCCGCCCCACATGTGGCCACCCAACATGTGGCCACTGCTGATGTGGCCACCCCACATGTAGCCACCCCAGTTGTGCCTAGCTCAGCTGTCGCCAGCACGTCGACAGCTGCTGACGCGAGTGCCAGTGCGAGTGCCAGTGATCGTGTGTCAACAAGAGTTCATGTGTCAAGTGCCACACGACGAGTGTCCATGTATAAAAAGAAAAATCGTGTTGCTGTTGATAAGGAAATGATATGTATGGAAAAGGATAATTTTGCTGAAGTTATATCATATGTTCATTGTCCCTTTTGTTTTTCTAATGAGATCGAAGTTACATATTATAAACATCACCTAGAAACATTTGTGAGTATGTCGTGTATAGACTGTAAGCTAATTTTTATTGAAAAGCCATATGGTATACGTAAGAAGCTGAATGTTTTGACGGGTAGGATGGTTTATGCTGAAATGGTGGTTGGTGGTGGCTACTCGTCATTTTCTCGGAGAAATGCGTTGTGTAACCTACCTAGTCTGGGTATAGAAACATTCAGCAGATATACAAGCATGATAACAAGGGCATCCATTGAGTCTTGCAGGAAAATCCTTGATGAAACAAGGATAGTCATTGGTGAGGAATATGCCAAATGTGGGTTTTTACCAGACGCACGTGGTGTTCTTGACATTGACGTGACGTATGACGGCTCCTGGCACACGAGGGGCCATCATTCTAATTTTGGCGTTGGTGTGGCCATTGATGCCTTGACAAAGCTAGCAGTGGATTATCAAGTTTTGTGTAAACACTGTTTTGTTTGTAGCAGTCTCGAAGGTCGTTTGCAGAAGAAAAGACTTACTATGGAAAAATATGAAGAGTTGAAACAAAGCCATGAAAGTAGATGTAACAAAAACTTTTCAGGCTCCTCCGGCAAGATGGAAGTTGAAGCTGCACTGATTATCTGGCAGAGATCACAGAAAATGAAGTTGAGGTACAAAACAATCATATCTGATGGTGACAGTGCAACTTACAAAGGAATTGTTGAGCTCAATGATGGTGCTGGTCCTTATGAAGGCATACAAGTTGCAAAAGAAGAGTGCATCAACCATTATGCAAAGCGACTAAAGAACAGATTGACAGCCTTGGTAAAACTGCACTACACAGAGAAACAACTGAGAACAGGAAAAAAGAGAAAGCAGTATCACATGAAGAAAGGGATGTTGAATGACTTCATGATTGACAAGCTTGCCCAGTATTTTCAGAAAAACCTACGGGAAAATTGTGGAACTGACGTTGAAACAATGAGGAATGGCATACTTTCAAGTTTCTTTCACTGTTCCTCCACTGATGACAACCCACAACACCAGCTTTGTCCACCTGGTTCTGCTTCATGGTGTTTTTACAAGAAGGCACTGGCAGACAACTTACCACCACCATCCCACACAACTATGAAAGTGCAGTTTCAGCTAGAACCTGACTACTTCAAGAGGGTGCATGATATCTATAAGGACCTCACCAAAGATGAAATGATGGAAAGATGCATACAGGGACGAACACAAAACCCTAACGAAAGCCTTCACAAAAGAATATGGACCTACTGCAACAAAGCTTTGTTTAGAAACAAGTGGCAAGTCGATTTCGCCACCAGCAACGCCATAGCAGAGTACAACGTAGGATATGAAAGAAGTTGCTTAGACATACTACTTGGCTATGGCCGTTCATCATTGAACCAACATCACCTGAGGACTATGGACAAGAAGATGCAGACTGTCAGAACCAAAGTATGCAAGAGGAGGAAGAGGGCAGTGGACACCTCCTATGAGGCTGGAGGCCATTAGATGACCCATGTTCATACCTACTCTTCGTCAAAGGTAAATAATTCATGTGAATTTGTTGTTTATTTGTATGTATATGTTTATAAATATTGTATATATGTATATTTACATATATATTTTGTACATAATCATTGGTAATATGATGTTTAGTGTGTATTTCCTTCTTTCCAGTTTGATTTGCATGGACCATCATGATTGGCCAATCTGCAAGGGACTTCACGATGGAGGGATCTGCATGGAACTTCAGAGATATGTTATAAATGCTCATTTCTACTCCTAATAAACATAAGAAGGCACAAGGAGTATTTTTACCCACCGTAAGCTAAGCCTCAATGTCTTACTCCATTTTTCTGGAAAGTGCATTTTTTGCAATTTTAGGGGGACTCCTCCCTTATTATTGAACCGATCTTTATCATTTTTACAGGATTTATTCAGGGAACATTGTTCTATAACTAAGGACGTACCTTTTCATAAAAATCCTTACCATTTTTGCATACCATAGGTGTAAAATGCAAAAATTGTCCTAACACGTGTCAAGGAATCTTCATTATTTTTTTTGGGTACTATAAAAGATTATATTGCATGATTGGTATGTACTACATCATCTGTTTGGCATTAATTAATAATTTCATGTTGCCAAAAATAACTTCGATATTGCCATATTGATGTAGTCCTCAATTAAGTGTTGCCATATACAATTTTTCACATTTTATTTTTTTATGACTTTATTTATTGAACGATCTTGATGAAAAACATACACAGTATATTCTGACATGCCTAGATTCTGTGGTAAAAATTTCAGTGAAATCGTACAAAGGGAAGTGAAAATGAATATTTACACCTGACTGCTCCCTAAGCACTTTCCCTTCCTCATGTCCATAAGGGTTCTCCATATTTCCTCCTCCTCAATGACCCCACCCAGTGCCTCCCGATCACTCCTCCCTAGTTTGCACGGCACATACTCACATACCTCCCCAAGAACCTCTCCATCCACCCCACTACTTTTCCCGTATTCCTCAAACCATCTATCTGCATATGCACTCATCCCCGTGGTTTCCCTTAATACCTGACCCTCTCTAAAACCCCCCATCGAAGAAATGACTTGCAATCCTGGTATTGTAGTCGTTTGCTGTCGTACCTTATGCCCTTGCAGCACACAAGCCGATGGCTTGTCGCCCCAGAGTACTTCATCCAACCCCGCCTGTACCCATACTGCCGCAAACCATTTTTCTTGCAAATCCCTTATCCTTTCCTTCAACATGTGTATATCCTCTACTGGGTACACCCTAGCCACCGCCCCCCCCCCCTCGTAACAATCCCGTAATCTAGATTCTAAATAATTTGACAAACCATACCGCAATTGATTAATGCGTTTGCCCTCCCTCACATAAAATTGACGTATTCTTACCTTAGCCACATCCTACCACATCCTCCTCAGTCCTTCTGTCTGCACAGAGCTGTTCTCAAAATACTGCAAAACCTTCCACTCCTTCCCTATCCCCCAAAACCATTGTGTTCAGTTTCCAGTAACTTCCCTGCCTACGAGCCAAAGCGTCCCACCCCACCTCCACTAATACCACCCTATGATCGGAAGACACCATCTCAATAGTTTTAAAAGACTCTACCAAAACCCTCTGTGATAAATATAACCTGTCCAAACGAGCCGCATATCCCAGTCTTATAAATGTATGTTACACCTCCCACAAACCTCCCCCGAAAGCATCACGTAATTGAAGATCTCTAAGCAGGCCCCCTAAGACTGAGGAACAATATCCCGCTCCTCTGGGTTCCACGTCTGCCATCTTAACTACACAATTCCAATCATCCCCCACAATCGCCACAGCCGATAACGTGCGTAGGTAGTACACAAGCTCCTCCCGCACAAAATCCATCTTTACTTTCGCGTCACTTTCTGCTGGGGCATACACACACACAAATGCCACTCTCTCCCCCCCCCTCTTTCCTGTGCAATACAAACGGGCTCGCCTCCCTGATCAACACACCCACTCCTCCTTTTAAATGCTCAGACGGAATCACATAAGCCTGATACCCAGGCACCACTAATTCACGACCAAGCTTAAAATTGTGCTCCTGCACAAAAGCTACGTCAACCTTGTATCTATTCAAAAACATCCTGAAGCACTCACGTTTAACACCATTACACAGACCATTAATATTTATTGCTATACACCTGAGGCCAGTTTAAGGTTTCCCTCCCTGCCTCATGTCAAGACTTTTCCCTTTCAGACCATTCCCCTGGGCTTTGCTTTTGCCGCACACTCCACCCTCCTTCCCAACCATCCCATCCCCTTCTGTTGTGGCCCTCTCGTAGAATCACTCTGAGTACCATAACCCCATGTCTTTTTCCCTGGCCTTTGCGCCGGCGTCAGAACATCGTCCGAATCTGACGTTGCTGCCCTTTTCCTTGTAGCTCCCTCAGTTTTCATATCTGAGTCCTGAGAGCCAGCACAATGAACTTACCACCCTTAATCCGCCTCCATGTTCTTCCATGGCACTCGCACTGTCCATCACAGGTGCCGCCTGATCCTTCCCCCTCCCCGCACACACCTTCTGCCCTGATCTCAGGTTCCTGCTCGCTGTGACTCTCCACCTCCATAGACTGTAACAGTCTGTATCACCGTCTCCAACTCCTGCTCAATAGCTTGCACTGCTGCGCCCACCCGCACCTCCTCACTTGACAACTGTTCTGTTGATGGGCCAGGTGATTCATGGACCACCACTTCTCCTTCCGATTCCACAGGAGCCACCACCTCTTCACTCCACAAGCGACCACGCCCTCCTCCTTGCCCCCCTTCTTCCTTAGGAATCGGTTTCTCATACGCAGGTGCTCCGCCCCTTGCCGGCCCATGAGCCATATTCCGCTTGCCACAGTCTGCTGCCATATGGTCATATTCGCCACACAGTCGGCATGTACGCCTCTGCCCAGCATACGCTACCATTACCGGTTCTAAACTCCTCGAGAAAAATACATACGAGGGTATAGGATCCTTAGCGTCATCTTGAGATTGGGAAAAAACCCTCAGGAATCCTGTGTAAGCTCCTTTTACCCATTTACCAGGTTGGGCTTTGATGTACAGTTCCATAACGTTCGAAAACATTGCGAATATCCACTTACATCAGCCTCAAAAGGCACGTTTCGGAGCTTAACCCATGAATAATGTCGTGATAATCCGTCAACTTGACCCTCACTGCCGGTGTTACGTTAATGCTGACATCTTGATAACGATCCACCAACGCCTCGTATACTTGAGCAGTTAGCACCTTCACGAATATTCTATACACACCGTTCAGTGCCACTCCATACAAATCCTCGTCTCTGATGCCGTATGTCACTCTTACAATTTTGGGCAATAACACATCAACTGACGTAGGCGTTAAAGCCCCACTAATGAGCTCAATGCCCACAGTATTCACTCTCCTGCACACACCTGGCGCCATGTTGTTGACTGAGTAGCTCGTCTGGGAAAACAGTAGAGGGGTGCAAAGCACGACCGCACTCTACCTCATCCAGGCAGCGAATGATGTTGGTTAATTAATGGGATTTAAAGCGTGTTTGCTACAAGGTAGCAAGGTAGCTAGATAGCAAGGTAGCAAGATAGCAAGGTAGCAAGGTAGCAAGATGGCAAGGTTCCAAGATAGCAAGGTGCCAAGATAGCAAGGTAGCAATATATAAAGGTAGCAAGATAGCAAGGTAGCAAGATAGTAAGGCAGTAAGGTAGCAAGGTAGCAATAAAGCAAGGTAGCAAGGTAACAAGGTAACAAAGTAGCAAGGTAACAAGGTAGCAAGATAGCAAGGTAGCAAGGTAACAAGGTAGCAAGATAGCAAGGTAGCAAGGTAACAAGGTAGCAAGATAGCAAGGTAGCAAGGTAATAAGGTAGCAAGATAGCAAGATAGCAAGGTAGCAAGGTAACAAAGTAGCAAGATAGCAAGGTAGCAAGGTAACATTCTCACAATCAAACAAGAATACATTAAAATGAGGACTAAAGTAAATTTTCCCCCATATATACGCTGAGATAATTACACATAAGTAAATATATTCTGCGCAAATATGCATGTATTCACAGAGAAATATACCTGTCAGTGTATATCTCGTGTATATAATGCTGTGTCAATGTTATACCTCCTAAAATACTCCAGTTAAAATTGTCATAGATGTTTTTACTTGGCAGATGTTTAAATAAACAAAAGGGTTGTCAATTTACTATGATCATAACTTTTGATAACACCATCTTAACACTATTTAGCAATATTAAACATAGTATTAACATAATTTAACTTGTTCAAAATAGTCATCATCAAGTCATTTATATTTTCTGTTTTAGTCTGCCCAAAATTCTGTGGTAAACTGGGCTCTTTTCCGTGTGTTAAAAGAAGAATAAAACAATCTGTAACAAAAATGTTTTTAACTGCAAAATTAAGTTAACGTTATATTATTTTCCTTGTAGTTGTGATAATGACACTGTAGTGATGCTTTCAGTGAAATGTTCTCTCATCATCACTTCTGAGACTTCACGTAAGTTTTCACTCTAAGTGGTTACAATTATTTGTTTTACTTCATTCATATGTTTTTCTTCAGTTTCTCACATCAGAATAACTGAAATGTTGTTCTAACCGAACATGACATTGTTTTCTGTTACTCACTTGAAGATTGGTTTATATCAGCTTGGAGGTTTGCTGTGTCATCAATGGTGGCTACTCATGCAGATTCTAACAAAGTCGTGATACGGTGCTATGATACATGTCCCTGACAGTGTTAGATATCAGGATGAGGAGGAGGAGGATGGGGGCGAGTACTGTGCCTCGGAAGGGATGTTGTTACTGTGCCTTGGTAAAGTTGGGGTGAGTAAGTCTTTGGCAAAGCTCAGGGGAAGTAGTTTTTTGGAAAGGATGGGGCGAGAACTATGCCTTCGTAAGCATTAGGCAAGTCCCAGGTTTGGAGTAATTATGCGATTCAAAGTCAATTATAATTTCAGTTACTCTTCCAACTTTTCAGTTATAATTACAATTTAAATTAAGAAGAGAAATAAGAAATTACAATTGCAGTTAATTATATTTTGCTCTAAATTCATGTCTTCAGTTAATTCATATTGTAATAATGTTAAAATTATTCCTAAATATTCAAAAAAATATGCAATTATTATGCACCTGGAAAAGAGAGGAATGTAGAGGAGAGAGATTTAGGGCGATGTTAAGTGAGTGTTTACGTGGTTTTGAACGAAGTAAGATAGTAATTGTAGTAGGGGACTTTAATTAATACCAATTAAGAGTAAGACGGAG